GGCCTGTGAGGCGATATTTTCTCTCCAGTTTCCTGGAATTTTGCTTCACCAGCACTCTGTTGGAAGTTTTACTAAAATACATGTTTAATTTGCAGCTTTTCTTTCCCATCCTGAGCAGAACGAAGATGATTGTCTGTTTCTTGCTGGTTCTGGTTAAAATGATCGCCTGTGTTTCTTTTTCGCTCTGTTCCTGCAGGGATCATGATGACTGTGTCTCAGTGTTGACCGGCCTTCGCCTTTGGCACAGTCAGCACCTTCAAGGAGGGCTTCAGGGGTACATTTTAAATCCAGTGTTCAAAGAAAACCTAGGAACCGCACTGCTGGGAGGGTAAGTCTGCTTTCAGAAATGCATTTAGATTTCTCCATCCTGGTTCTTTTTCCAGAACTGAAGTTTAGTTGATGTTGTGCATCAATCACCTCATGTTTGGCTACAGTTTGACACAATGGGCCTGACTCAGCAACAGGTATTATTGTTATATTGCATGGTGCCATATCCCACCGTTAATGCTTCTTTGTTTTCATATCCTACTTTATACATACAGTGAGGAGAATAAGTATTTGAACACAAAGTTCTCCCAATTGTCAGGTGTTCATATGCTTATTTGCTGCTGTATCATACAAATATATCATATCACATCATTTAATTGTGATTTCTGGATTATTATTTTTTATTTTTTTATTCTGGATATGCACCTACAATGACATTTCAGACCCCTCCATGATTTCTAAGTGGGAGAACTTGCAAAATGATTCCAGACATTAGCCCCATTAACACTACCCTCTGAAACCGATCCGTGCCGAGCTCAGGTCTTTATGACAATTTCCACGCCACGCTAGTACGGTTCCTCGCCTCCTAATGACGCTCTATGGTGCTGCTGCTCTCTAGAGGTAAACAAACCAACATGGACCGTAACATTCAGAAAGTTTGCAGAGAGTCAGGCGGAGAAGGCAACCTTTGATGAATTTACTCGACAGAGTCGGCTTTTGGGAAGTGGATACGACAAACGATAGTCTAATCAGGGCTTCCAGACGCAGGAAACAACGACAGACGCTGAGGTTCATCACCCTGCTAAGCAGAATCATCACTGGAAATCGTGCAGCCCGGTAGTGAAGCTAGGATTTTTATGAATGTCTGAAATTTCCTGATTACAGAAGCTGACGGTAAGGAGATGAGGCGGTCTGCTCATGCGCTCTTTTACTCCATTTACTCTACCCTCGAAAAACCATGCCGAGACCGGTCCGAGCTCAGTAACTGAGATAACTTATCGTGTGTAAATGGAAAGCAAACTGAAC